TACTGAAGTACGACTTCTTCATTAAAAATAAAAAATATTTTTGTACAAACATTGTAAATTGAAATCAAAATTATTTTTATGTTACTTTGAATGTACATATATTATTTTATTCAGTTAATGTTATGACATCATGTTTTCCAGTTCAGAAGAATAGCTAAATCAATTCGTTTTGTCTGTATGTAACGTTTAACTTTTTAGAGACGCCATGAAGCTTAGTTGGCTAACGACTAAAGAAGTTTTTCATTATTTAATTATGGTTAATATTAGGTTGTACAAAGATATATATTAAATGATTCTTGGTTTAAAATTTCCTCAATTTCTCTGTTTATATATTTTGATAGAGTTATTTTCATACCTATTCCATACCATACATACCTTATCATACAAGACTTAAATTAAAAATATTTAAATGCATTCTTTTAAAATTATTCAGATTTCATACATATGCCAAACATCTTTGAAAATGTTCGAAAGTGGGAACTGAAAAAATGTTCTTGCACTCACCAATTAGATACTAGCAGATCCAATCATCTAGATGTGAAAAAATTGTTGGTGCAATGCCTTATATAAATATTTCTATAATCCTAAATATTATAGAAAAATTTTCTTGATTCTAGTATTACGAATTAATTTGAGAACAATATTGTATTGTTCTACTAATAAATCATTTATTTTTTTGGAATTCAAGAAAAAGTGAATTAATTGTTACTATAACATGCGTGCATGCATGTCCTAGAAAGTGTGGTAAATTCATAGTTACTCAACACGCTTTCTAATTAAATAACATTAAATTAAAAAATAACTGAATAATAAAATAATAAATTTATTTAAGTTAAAACATATTTAAATGCATTGTTAATAATGCAAATGCGTGTGCAAAAATTTTTCCTTGAAATACTAATTTTTTTATATATAAAATTTTATGTAATTTCCCTTTATTTTATATATTTCAAATATTTCTGGCATATATATAGCATATTTTAACGTGTATGATTTATATGCGTACTTAATGCATATAAATTTCATAAATACAGAGGTAAAAAAATGTTGCGTTTTACTAAAACTTCAAGAAACTATTAGTCAAAGACCATTACCTACATTGATTATTTTAATATACGACAAATTAGACTGGGAACAAGCATTACTATTCACAGTAGTGTATTTTATCTTGAAAAATGTATTGAATATATCCGTATATATCAAAATAAAAAAAAAATCTAACTATAAAGTAATTGGATAGACTAAAGATGCCTTCAACTCAAAATATCGAAGGAATTTCTGATAAATCGATCTCACTTGAGGCAAAACATAATTATTTGTGATGTCATTTTACCTAACTGTTGAATCTATAAAATTTTTGATTAATTAACATTAACATCAGATTACAACTTTTTGATTGGTAAAAGACATGTTTCTGAAGGACATGTGTTGAAATAACAGCATTTTAGTTCCAATTACACTAGTGGGCAATAATATATTCACCCTTTAAATGATACGTCGTTGACATCCAAACTCTTCTCGTCAAATTAATTGGTACAATGAAAAGTGTTTCCAGATTGATATTGTAAGCAATTCCGTGTATAAGATAGCCTGCAGTCTGCGGCTAACAGAATCAGGCGTCTCCAAAATTCTGTCTTCA